CTTCTAGAAATATCCTTGTCCAAGTTCCAACGTTTTCTATGTGAAAAATGTATTTTAAGTTATAACTGAAAATCCGGAACATAATTTGTGCGGCTCTTTGATATCCTTTAAATTTCCAATTGTATTATGATGATCTTGTCTGATCTTCTTGGACATCATGGACTCCTTCAACGACTCGAACACTAATTTACCTCATCTATACAAATTGCACCCTAAGTCCCGGACTTTTACACTAATGTTCAATTAAGTCCCTAACTTTTACAATTATACAATTTAGTTCGTTTTGTCCACAGAATCGCCAATTACACTTTTAGACCTAACAAAGTCCCCCTTTGGCATTCTGTGACAAAACTCTACAAAAGAAGTCAGGACAATAAAAAATAAATCAGGCCTTGACAACCAAAAACTAAACTACCCAGTAAACCCAATCACTGAGTCTTACATTCCTTCATGTACCTGATTCCTGAAATTCACAAACTCATATACCCAGTGTAAAAGCACGTGATACAGAAAATATAAAAATTAATTAAAGCTCTTAATCACAAATCAAAATAACAGTTTGAGACGTGATATTGATACCAATCAATAAACCAACCAAGACAACAACAACACTAAACATTAAAACTCAAACAGATGGATGTGATATGGAATGCAGTAGCTCTCCTATGTGTATATGTGTATGCTCAATCATTATTTTTTTCTCCCCCTCAGTTACACATTTCTCTCCCCCTTTTTGTCACAAATGCTGAAGGGAGATACATTAAGGCCAAGTCGAGCAATAACGCATAATAATAAAAAATGCAATTGATAGAATGTAAAAGCAAAATCAACAAGTAGTATAACTCCCCACATACTTAATTCAGTCCAGAATGGAGTAATAATATAAATGACTCGTGTGTGTAAAGTGTTACTGATCCAATGCAAGCAGGACTCCAAATCTTAATTATGTGAGAAGGGACATGCCAATCACTACTAATAAGTATGTTCTCCTACTAATGAGAGTCAAACCATGTAACGTATAGTAGGACCTATACTTATTATTTTTACTTATTTCCCCTTTACCATGAACTTGTTGGTTTTTCAATTTTTCAAAGTATTTCAGCTCATCATATTTTCATATTTTTCTCATTTCTCCATCTCATTAATTTTTCATCTTAAGTGCAGACTCTTCTCCATTAGACGACTAAGATGACCCCTATAGTTAGCTTTAGACCGGTTAACCCAAGTCAGTTGACCATAGGTACCCGATTTTAAGAGACCCCGCAGGCTTAATTGCTCGAGTCAAATAGGCCCCGAAGAAGAACATTAAGATATGAGCATTTAAAATTGGGGGAAATTTTTGGGTTAAAGTCTACGGAAATTGGTCAATTCATGTTCAAAGTCACCCCATCAACATGTGACAACCATCCCAAATCTCACATACGCGGTAGTATCCTACTAACAAATTCATAGTGTGTGCAGTGTAGATGGTACATGAAGGCACTTATACATATTAATCCAACTAGACCTAACCAAGCAATGGAAATTATTCTACAACTTATCAATTTTAGCTCCTACATGATACAACGTGCAAGCTCTAAGTCATGTGTAATGCTGTAGAAATTTCCATAACCAATTATTTTTGTCTTTTTCAAATTTTCAATGTTCTTGTGTTTTTCGTTTTTCCTAAAATGAATGCTCCACACACAAAATAAAATAAAGTCAAGTAGACAAAGACAAAAATAAATATGCATGCGCCAAACTCGTAGGTGAAAATGTACATGCATGAAAATTTTAGGCTCTGATACCACTTGAAAATTCTAGGAACGCTCTACAACACTTGAAAGTTCACGGGAACGCTATACAATGTCAAATTCAAATTTTAGCGTTTACCAGTTTACGTTCTAGATTTCACTTTAACCAATTTGACCTTACGTGCGGAATTAATCTAACTAAAGCAACAAGTCACTTTAAGTAGTTATCTTGGTGATTAATCATACAAGTCAGTTAACCTATATTGGAATGCCGCAGTTTGTATATTATGCAAAGCAGTAAATAACAAACAATATGATGACGGAGAAACCCCAACGTGGGTAAAACTCCGAGACCAAGCCAGTTACCTCCACTATACCAATTCAGCAAGTACAAGTTATACCAAACTCCGTACCCAATCAGACTCGTTGTTCCAGTCTCACGATCTACTGCTGTAGATACTTCTAACCTCCTGCTAGACTTCTCGATCTACCTCCTGCAGTCCAATTTGTTGTCCACTACAACCTCCTGGTCCTTAGCTGATTGTATCACCAAGTGGAACACCAATAACCGCTTGTTCTTGTGCCTGTAACTGCATCTCAATCCACCTCTCTCAATCCTCCAATGAGATAGTCCCTTCCTCAATAGATTAAGGATGTAAGTGTTTTGGGTTATATAGATTCGATGTTTTTCCCCCAAAACAATGGTTGCCAGATCTAAAGAATAATGTAGATGAATTTTCCAATTGATTTTGCCTTAGATATCTTGAACAAAGATATGAAGATGTTATGCACTCAAAGAATAATGTGGCAATCTCTGAAATTTCGTCCTAGGGCTTTAGTATTTTTACTTAAAGGCGTCTAGGTGGTATGGGCCGAGTAAAACACTTCAAAAATGCGAAATAGGGTTTTGGCCGTATAGGACTGTCGCTCGAGCGAGAGCCAGCAGGAAACGAGCGAGAGGTATTCTGTTTTTATCGCTCGAGCGAAATGCCAGCGAGAAGCGAGCGACAGTGAGCAGTCATCAGTATTTTCATCATAACTTTCTCGTCCGATGTCCGATTGAGGTGATTCAAGTTGAGTTGGAAAGATAAGTCAAAGGGCTACAATTCTTCTGGAAGTATCCTTATCCAAATTTCAACGTTTTCTATGTGAAAAAAGCATTTCATGTTATGACTGAAAATTCGGAACATAATTTGTGCGACTCTTTGATATCCTTTAGACTTCCAATTGCATTCCGATGATCTTGTCTGATCTTCTTAGACATCATAACCTCCTTCAACGACTCGAACACTAATTTAAATCATCTATACAAATTGCACCCTAAGTCCCTGACTTTTACACCAATGTTCAATTAAGTCCGACTTTTACAATTATACAATTTAGTTCGTTTTGTCCACAGAATCGCCAATTACACTTTACACCTAACATATTGAAAATGCATATTTTAGTTTGTTGTAAAGTTGAATGAATTCTATTTCTTTGTTTTGCAGAGAGGCAGTTTTCGGCTTTGGTCAGTTTCTCTCTCTTCTGTTTTTTCATTAATGAATTTTATTTAGATATGTGCAGGTTTTTCAACTTTCTCTCGATTGTCCTTGCTAGCTTTCATCTTCCTATAATCATCTGTCTCTATGGAAAGTTGATTTTCTATGCTAAAATAATTATCATTTGTGTGTGGATGTGTTTCTTGTTTAGGCTTTATAATTAATTATTTTCGTGAAAAGTATTGCCTTAGCATGATCTTAGTTTAGTTGGGTAAATTGATGCTAATTTGATGAATTTATTTTTGTTGGAATACAGAGCATTTAGTCTTGCTAATTTTATGGTTGGTTCACATTTATTGTTTCATAACTGTGATATATATATTTTTTTCATTAGTACTTTCATCTGCAATTCTATTGCTAGCTTAAAAAAATAAAAAAAAATTCTCCGCACAAAACGCGTGGAGTCTCCCCATGTGCGGAGTCCACAACATTTGCAATTTTTTTCCCTCGCTTTTCCTATTTTTGTTTTCTTTTTATAGATATTTGAATCTAAATTACTGAAACAAGGGTTTTTGGTAAGTAAATATAGAACTTTGCTATGAATTGAATGTATGTTAGTTTGATTTTATTGTGTGGTTCTAGGTCAGTTTTTTTTTATTATCATTTCATTTTAATCGTTCTGAAAGATTAAGGATTTTATTTTGTTTTACGAGGCAAGATAATAATTATGGCAAAACATGAAGTAGTTCTAATGGATCACTTGGGTTGGAAAAAAGCTCACGTCTTCAGCCATTCAAGTTGATGAGTTCTGATTTTGAATTTTTAATGATGTTTGATTTTTTTTTATTTTCATTTCTGTTGTTGAAAGGTAAATAACGTTGATTTCTCTTGATTATGCTGCTGCTTTAACTCATTGATGTTATCTTGGAGGTTAGTCAATACAAGTATATAGTTAAATACCTCGACATTGGTGAAAAATATGGTAATCTAAAAAAAATAGAAAAAAAGAAAAATAAAAAAAAAACTGTGTGGAGCAAGCGGAGCGGAGAGTTTGGAGATAGCTCGACATTGGTGAAAAAAATATGATAATCCCAAAAAAAAAAAAGAAAAAAAACGAAGAATAAACAAAAAAAACCAATGTGTGCGCACTGTTTGAGATAGCTCGACATTATTTCGAAATTGGTAAAAAAATATGATAATCTAAAGAAAAAAACGAAGAATAAACAAAAAAAATCACTGTGTGAGCACTATTCTGCACTTTGTGCGGAGCCAAGAGTTTGGAGGTGTTCCGCCAAACTCTCTGGCGAGTTTGGAGTGCGGTTGCTCCCACCTTGTACGGAGCAGCTTTGCAAATTTTTATTTTTCCTTAAGAAAGTCAACCATCCGGAGAGTTTGGAGAGAGTTTGGAGAAACACTTCCAAACTCTCTGGGCTCGGAGAGTTTGGAGTGCAGAGCAACGAAGCATTGTTGTGCAAATTTTTATTTATTATTTTTTTTCTTTTTGCTTAGGAAAGGTTATTTCAATTCTTGAGGTATTATCTACAAACTAAAATCTCGAAATCATTTTTGTAGCATTTAGAACTCAGATGGAATATTCATTAACCTCTAGTGTTTTAATTTGTTAATTGCGATAGAGTATATTGTGAAGCATATAATATGTTACAAATTTTTTGTTATATTGTGCGATAATTGATGTAAATGTGTTATCTTTTCTTTGTGTATATATATTAGCGTTTCTTCTTCTTTTCAACCATAAATGTTTACATCTCCAATTCCTTCACTAGAATTCAAAAAATCTACAATTTTTACACTAATAGAAACTGAATAAATACAAAACTTGTGCAACGCACGTGGTGATGACTAGTATATATACAAAAAGGTAGAAGTAGAAGTACAAGGAACTATTCTAGAAATGTTGCTGCAAAAGACTTACAAACTTAACTTTTATAAGAACTTTCAAATAAATAAAAATACAAAATTATGAAATAACCAATAGTGGAAGAATAAACCTTACAAAGGAGGCTCAGGTTTAAACATGGGAGCCTCTGGTATCATAGTATTCTTCAAAATCTGTCAATCACAAACATCAAATGAAGCACTCACATCAATTGCAGCCAGTGAAAGGCAATGAATTCAAATTCGTTTATTTATTGGTCATCTACAAAATATTGGGTCACTTGAATTTCCATGATCATGTACACAAACTTTTAAGGTATAAAATTCTATTACAGAAGATAACTAAAGTGCCCAGTTGTTATTTCTGGGATACAAAATTGTAAAATAGCTGCAATTGGCAAGTTAACTATGTTTCTATTCCAATATTTCTTTCTCTAATCATTCAGGCAACAAAAGGCATATTTTTGTAGGCGCAAAAGAAATCGCTAATTCTACAACGTAAATCAACATTAGCAAGATTCAAGTACAAGTACTGATTCTACTCATCATAGAAATGCAGCCCAATATGCCTATAAATAATTTCTTCATAAATCATTCATTTATAAGACTCTAAAAAACTTTATAAAAAACTAATAATAAAGTATGAATCTTTAAACAAATAGCTCACCAAACAAAAATCATAAAAGGAATCAATGATTTCAATAGCTTGGGAAAACTCTATTGCATTAACAAATTTAATATGCATATATATGGTTGAAACATTGCCAGTTTACTAATGATTTCAGATACTATTAGAGTTTGTTTTCTTTGAGTAAATGATGAAAGCCTCAAAAGTCGTATGTCAACAATCAAATAAGAAGACATCAACGCAAAAAGAAAAAGTAACTAAAGTGAAACTAAGACCAGAAACAGAGATCTAACCTCTTCCTAGCCAGATTGTTGCCTTTGACTTCTTTTGATGAGTAAATGAATCTTGCAAAACAAACGAAAGCATATATACAACAATATCAGCAGATTTATCCATCAACTGCATAGAAATAATATCAAAAGAACTAAAAACATAGCATGAAGGTTTTTGCTTGAATCCATTGGAGAAGATAACTATGTTAATAAGGAGAACAATCTGAAGATAAATGAAAGGAAGAAAAAGATGCTAATGGTGGTATCTTCGCTAAACAGAACTCAACATTTAAACTAGTTCAAGGCAATATCCCTTTACAAACGCAATAGATTCTAAACATACCATTAAATTGAATTGAAAGATAATATTTCTGGCAGACACAGTATTCATATAAATGTTACCCAATTAATTGAAAATTTTGCTCAGTAAGGTACTAAGGTTAATGACAATCAATGGCATATTCATCTATGCACTGCCTACTTTTTGATAAAAAGTATAATGCCTACTCAGAAGCATATCTGTAGCTTTTCATACAGATCTCAACCAATTGGAAATTCATAAAGCCCTTCATGTAATCAACGTAGCAATTTATTAAAATGTATCATTGCTAATTTAGGAACTTTAGTACTTCACTTTGCTTTAAATGGTCCCCTGTTGTAAGTTCTCCCAATTATTTTCCCAAAAAAATGAATACAAAACTACCAAGGGTTCAACTTAAATTTTGGCCTCAATTTTTTCACAACCTGGATTCAGCAAGTTCAATGGCCATCTAGCAGACTGAGAGCCCCCCGTCTTTGAACACGCTATTGTGAGTAGCCATGGAAGCACCGCACCTAATATAATTAAACTAAGGGTCCGTTTGATTGGAAGAAATTCCATGGAAAATGTTGTTTTCTACTTTGGTTGTTTGATAAGAAAGTGGAAATGGAGTTCGAATTTCAATGTACAAACACTTAAAGCATGTTTTTGGTCAATTGAATGGAAAATACTTTCTTATGGTTTTGGTGTAATTTTCTTTTACAACTTACATCGAATTGGTTTGCCTTTTCTATTTTTACAATCAAACGGACCCTAAATATAAAAAAGAGCTTAACACAATAGAAGAAAGAGATTGAAATTATTCTAAGAATCATTTGGAAAACTTCAAGATATGTAGTAAATATAGTTTGCTTAGTAAAAACTGAATTAGAAACGTATAAGTCTTCAAATATTATTGAGAATCCTCTATAGTGATGGCTCTTATTACTCAACGTAAGGGAACTGACACTAAAAAATCTTCAGCAATCAATTATGCTGTTTGTACGGCTTAATATCAATGATTTCTCTAATAACATAGAAATAAAAACAACTAAAAGTAAACAATTGCAATTATTAAGTTTCCATTTATTTATCTTTCTCCTTGAAAAGAGGCCAAATAGTTTTCCCATCTTACAGTTTGCAGGCTAGTTCATTGCACCAAAAGAATCTAAAAGATACCTGGCTATGATCCTCCATTGTGGTAGCTCTATCTAGTATTTTTTGGATCACATCCCATTACAATCCACCATTCATGCTGCGCATGTCAAAGGAGGATGTGAAAAGAATATCAAATTCCTACATGAAGGAAATGAGTGAATATATGAAGGCCACAAAATGAGGAAAGGCATACAAACACACACACATATAGGGCCAGAAAAGAAAGAAATGAAAGAAAGGCTAAACAAACATGAGCATACCTCTCCTAAATCAGTTAGAATCCAATTGCCATTAAGTGATCCAATTAAGATTCTGCCAAAACCAAGGTCTTGCCTAGAAGATAAGGCAACAAATTTTCAGTAACGGTTATGTATTTAATCCGTCAAATTACAAGACTTTAAAACTGATTAAAGGCATCAATTTGCCTCTATACTACATTGAAAACTTCGATTGCTTTCATCCCACTAAGTATTAATAGAATAAGTAAAATCTTCAAAACTCGAGAATATGAGTTTGGACTGCATAAAGAAGGAGATTCTACTTTTGGGTAGAAGAACTAGTTCTTCCAAAACCATAATGTAACCCAATAATGAAGAGTCGAAAGAAGGCAAAAAACGCAATAATCTCAAACAACCCAGGAGTTATAAAAGAAGAGAAGAAAAACGTAAATCAACTTAGAAAACAGATCTCAAAATTTATGTGTCAAACAGATTGTCCTCAATTTGTAGTGAGTATAATGGCATCGACAAAAATCACGTAGAGAATGAGGGTTCACAAACAATGGAAATCAATTATTCAAAACGTCTAGAGAAATCACAAAAAGAACAAGGGTTTCATCGCATAAATGTTATGGTTGGAGCCCAACTTCAACCAAAACCAATTAATTTTCTAACCAAGCTCAACCAAATAACTAGCAGCTATAAATTCAAGATATTGTAATTATCCAAATTAAAGAACACAACCTGAAATAACTAACAATAAAAACACAAGATTCTGAATATAAATTGCAATCAGCCAAATTGAGGAACATAAATTAAATTACTAACAAGAACCAGTTAATCGCCAACCAAAATCAATTCATTCATTCCCTTAATTGATGATTGTCTTACAATGCAATGGATTACAAGTAACAATTACAAAAGAAAAAATGGTTTAGGTGAGGAAGAAGAGACAGAGAATTGGAGAGAAGATTAGAGTAGAAGAAGAGTAGAGGAAGAATCGAGAAGAAGAGTAAGCAGGAGAAGAAGCTTGCCATAGAGGGGGTACTTTCAATTTTGCAGTTTGATTATTTTTTTTTTTTTGATTCACAACAGTGGCGTCTTGTCACTCAAAAACAATTGTGTCCTTATTCATATTTTACAATTACAAAAGTATAACAATTCTTTAAAAAATAATAATACTCTTAATAATTTAAATAAATTAAGTTATTTTCATACGTAAATTTTAAAATCAATTTTACTTATCAGTTTCTTCAATACAATAAAAAAGAATTTTTTCCTTCCATCTGCTAAAATAGCGAAATCTCCCAAAATTATCAAAGGTTCAACAAAAAAACAATACTCAAAGTCGGCACTGAAAATTGGTAAGTGTAAATACGTATTTTTAATTTTGTTTTAGTTAAATTTACTGTTTGAATCTTTAAATCATTTTTTTGACAAAAGCAGATGAATTTTACAGTATTTAAACACAGATTTATAATTTTTTTTATAGCAAAAATAACAAAAAAATTCATCTCTGTATGCATATATTTTACAGAAAAAATTTATAGGTGTCTGTAAAATAAATATTTAAACATTATTTCTTTAAAAAAGGGAAAAAATAAAAAATTCGAACGTAAATTTCAGATGAAACGGACGAAAAAAATTGGACCAAATGTTTCCAGCCAGCCCAGTTGTCCGGGCCGGATGGAAACAGTCCAGCCGGCCCAGATAACCAGGCCGGCTGGAAACATCCGACCCAGCCTTTTTTTTTTCCCTTCCTCTTCCCCTTCCCTTTCAGATTTTAGAATTTATTTGTTCATTAATATATGTTTATTGAAATAAATATTAATGAATATTTAAATACTAATTGAAATAAATATTTTTGAAACAATTAAAATAATCAATGAATTATTTAAAGTATTAAATTAAATTAAATATGAAATGAACAATTTAAAAAATTATATATTAATTCCTTATTTTTAATTTGTGGCAGATATGACATCAGCATGTGTCCCAATTTGTTACTTTGGTGAATTTCAAATGAATGAAAATGCCTAGTGGGAATGGAAATGGATGAGTGAAGGAGATGGGGTTAAAGCGATTTTTATAACAAGGAGTACATCGTTCGCAGAAATGTACAGTGATATACAAAACATGCTTAACGTCGATCCCTCTCAGTACGATATGGAATTGGGATTTTCGTTTCATAAGCATTCAACTATTTCAATTCCACCTATGAAAGTTATTTCTGAAGTGGAAATGAAACATCTAATTAAACTGAACCAAGGCCGAAAGTCGACTCCTATTTGCGTAACTTTATTGGGGAAGAATGTCCACGAAGGTGAACACGAAGTTTCAAATGAAGAGAATCATAATGTAAATGATGTTTGGGATACAATTCAGATTGTTCGTGAAGATGATGCGGTTATTACCGAGACCACTGCTACTCACCATGATCACACTGTTACTCACAGAATTCCATCGATAGTTGAAGACAACGAGAATGAAAATGCATTTACAAACGAGGATTTGATTGATTTATCTCGTAGGGGACATGAGTCGGGTGGGAGCTCACAGGCCGGACCGAGTACACGGTCTTCTAATTGTTCGCGTGTAGTTCCCGATGATGAAGATGTATATGTCGATCAACTATTCGAATCAAAGAAAGAATTGCAAGAAGCTGTGCACCGAATTGCTTTAAAATATAACTTCGAGTTTAAAGTGAAAAAATCAAACAAGTCGACATACACAATTATCTGCATTGACGACAGTTGCCATTGGCGTTTGCGAGCGACTAAGATGGACACGAATGAGTTCTTTGTAGTCCGTAAGTATGCACGGGAACATACTTGCGAAGTGGGTATTCGTCGAAATGATCATAGGCAGGCACGATCATGATTCATTGGTCGAGAAATAATGCACAAGTTTCAGGATCCACGAACGATCTACAGACCTTCGGACATCATTAATGATGTTCGATGAGAGTACGGGGTGGTCATGAGCTATCAGAAGGCTTGGAAGGCTAAAAAATGTGCATTGGAGGATTTGATGGGTTCGACTGAGGAGAGTTATGCTAAATTAACCAGGTATTTCATTATTTAAGTGTTTATTTCTTTGTTATTTTAAATTTTAATTATTTAATTTCAATTGTTTATTTATATGTAATTAATTATTTCATTGAATTGTTTATTTTTCTGTTCATTTAATATTTAATATATTATCTAAATTATGATTATTTTTATTTACATTGGCCAGGTATTGCTATAACATGGGAAGAATTAATACTGGGTCGGCATTTTTTATTGAGAAGGATGACGAAAATCGCTTCAAATATTTCTTTATGGCCCTTGGACAATGTGTTCAAGGATTTCGAAATACAATGCGACCCCTAATCTTAGTCGACGGTACAACCCTTAAGGCGAGATAAGGGGGCAAGTTGATTATTGCAACATGCCAAGATGCGACCATCCAAATTTACCCTCTTACGTTCGGCATAGTCGATGGAGAAAATGATGTAGCAATGAGTTTGTTTTTCACGAAGTTGATGGAAGTAATTGGAGATGTCGAAAATCTTGCATTCGTAATCGATCGAGGGCAGTCAATAATAAATGGTATCGCCGAAGTCTTCCCTGAGGCACATCATGGTTATTGTATGTACCATATACATGGAAACTTGAAGACCAGGTATCGAGGCAATGGCGTCGTTGCGTTGTTTAGAAGAGCTGCTGAGGCTTACAGTTTTCAAGAGTTTGATAAGTTCATGGTCGAAATAGACAGTAAATCGCATGCTGCATGGGAGTATTTAACAGAGATGGGGATTGAACATTGGGCACGATCACATTTTCCAGGACGTCGATACAACATGATGACGTCGAATAATGCGGAGTTGCTTAACGCTTTATTCAAGAAAGATTGAGAGTTACCAATTCTCGCAATGATTGAGAACATTCGTGACAAGTTACAACAGTGATTTCATGATCGACGTGAGGAATCACAGAGTTGTGCAAGTGTGCTAACCCCGGCTCAAGAAGATAAGCTCTTCAAGACTCTAGATGTGACAAGAAAGGTATATGTAGAACCACTGGATCAATTTCGCTTCTCCGTGAGATATGCACGTAATTTCGGATACATTGTGGACTTGAATGATAACACGTGCACGTGCAGACGGTTTCAGTTGGAGAGTTTTCCGTGTACACATGCAGTGGCAGTGGCTATGCATAGAGGATTACCACCACACACCTCGGAACACAGGCCTTCGCCTCTGCATCTTCCGTACATCGCAGTCCAGTGACGAGGGCAAACTCAAATATAGAGAACGTGGCTACCTTGCCCCCCAAGATCAAAATGGAGGGCGTCTCCGTCAACTAACTTCAGCAAGCGACATAACAGGGCATCCAGCAGCTGCCCAGACCACTGTACATCACGCAACGAATACAAGGGCCATAAACATAGTCGACGTAATATATCTGCGTGATCGTCGTCCAGCAAATCCAATACCAAAGCGAAGCTGGTAAAGTTAGGGATCTGTCTGACAGCGTCGTCCAGATGATATTTCATCCTGCAAAATTTCAAATATTAGAACCCTATGCAAATGATGTTCGATAAACAAAAATATTAAAACAATATACTAACACATTGCTACTAGATGCAATAACCAACCGATAACGGAATAAACAAAATTAACGTATATTACTATTTTTCATATACTTAATTTACTAATTTGATCGTTTATTTTAATATTTTAATTGCTTATTTTAATTATTTATCTAACACTAAATTAACTTTTTCATTTTTAATTAATGTTTAAACACTTATTTTAATTCTTTATGCATATCGCTTATTTCATATTTACAAATTTATTTTAATTGCTTCGTAAAAAATTAATGTAATTGACATTTTCATATCCTAATTTAATTGTTTATTTTTATTATTTCACAAATGTTTATATATTTATTTAAATTCTTTATGCATATTACTTATTTAACATGTAATTAATTATTTTAATAACACTTATTTTGATCGTTTATTTTAATATTTTAATTATTTTTCTAACACTTAATTTACTTTTTCATTTTTAATGAATGTTTAAATGCTTATTTTAATTATTTACGCATAATGCTTACTTCATATTTACAAATTTATTTTAATTGCTTTGCAAAAACTTAATTTGATTAATATTTTAATTTTCAAATTTAATTGCGTATTTTTATTGTTTTACAAATATTTAAATATGTATTTAAATTATATATTTATATATATATATATATATATATTTATTTATTTATTTATTTATTTAAATATTTTTTTAATTATTTTACTATCACTTATTTTGATATTTTAATTGCTTATTTTAATTTTTTTCTAACAGTTAATTTATTTATTTATTTTTAATGAAGTTTTAAAACTTATTTTAATTATTTACAAATGTTTAATTATGTATTTAAATTCTTTATATATATCTTATTTAATATTTCATTTTTTAAAATTAATTTAGTAACACTTGTTTTTAAATGCTTATTTTAATATTTTAATTATTTTTCTAACACTTAATTTAGTTTTTTAATTTTAATGAATGTTTAAATACTAATTTTAATTCTTTAGGCATAATGCTTATTTCATATTTACAAATTTATTTTAATTGCTTTTCAAAAAATTAATTTTTTTGCTAATTTAATTTTCAAATTTAATTGCTTATTTTTATTATTTTACAAATGTTTAAATATTTTTTTAAATTCTTTAGATATATTAATTATTTAATATTATATTATTTCTTTTAATTTTTTTACTATTACTTAATATAAAATAATTAATTAATCTAAATTAGCAACTAATAAATATTTCGATAAATAATATAACATTTACATCTTATATTTACTAATAATTTTAAATACATAATATACATTCAAATTAAGCAATTCAAATAAATAATTACATATTAGAGAACACAATATAAGCCATTAATAATTATTTAATTAACTTCAATAATTACCGAAAAAAAATCGATTGCCAAAATAACGGCCGGCCCAGACCGGCCTAGCTACCCAGTTGATTGGGGACAGGGCGCCCAGACGGCGTGCCCAGCTTCT